TTCGCAGTGCTCTTGTTAAAGGGCGATGCTGGGATTCGCACCCGGGTAATATACTCTAACCTGTCCGCGGAAATTTTTTTACAGATATCATTTAATACTTGGCACTTAATCAAACTTGGTACTTAATCAAATATTGGCGCAGAGTATTAATTGATAGGGCTAATGGTTTAGAAGAAGGTACGGTCTTCATAATTTCCGCTGGGCTTTCCTACGAAGGACATTCTGATATTCCAAAGTGCTATTGTGCAAAGTGTTATTGAAACTAATCGGTCCGCGGCAAATTTTTTTATTAGAATTTATATCGGGCACTTGTGTACAGCACCTTTTGGCGCAGAGTGTGAATTGTTATGGCGATTGGTTTAGGAGGTTTGAGGTTCTTAACTGACGCAGAGCTCTTGTAAGAGGGCGAAATCTGGGATTCGAACCGGGATAATATAATCTAACCGGTCCGCGGCAAATGTTCTTCTTCATCTTACATATTTTATTGAATTCTTGTTTGCATCAAATTTTGACGTTGAGTATGCATTGTTATGGCTGATAGTTTAGGAGGAAAGGGGTTCTTAACTTTCGCAGAGCTCTTGTATGAGGGCGAAATCTAGGATTCGAACCCGGGTAATGTAATCTAACCGGTCCGCGGCAAATTTTCTTGTTACAGATTGTATTGAATACTTATTCGCGTAAGCTTTTCTTTTTGGTTTTTTGTTAACATTTTTTGAAAGAATGGAGATATCAGTTTGATTTCTTCACTAATCGTTTATAAATAAAATGCGGTAAATTTGGAGTACAGTTTTGTGTATATACTTGCAATAGTAGCGGATTTAGAGGTGTGGTTCTGCTAACCTCCATTGGAAGTTAGCATGAACACAGATTTTTTTGAGAAAATGACCCGCGGCAAATTTTTCTTTTCCACATCTTAAAAACGGCAAAAAAGCGGCAAATTATGGACTATGCAGTTTTGTGATTGGTTGAAATGGTTCTGCTAACTTCCAGGACGTAAATGTAATAGAAGAAGAATTTGCGACAGAATATTCGGAACTAATTAGAATTATCTTAATAGATAGAGAAGAGCTGCTTGCAGATAATTTTTATGAGCATTTTTGTGCACATAAGCGAAAAAATGTAGCTGTACTATATTCTAACTATTCAGCATCATTCATTCCTGCAAGTATTTTTTATTACGGCGTTTATAATTTTGAAATTGCAACATTACCGGTTCATATCCCCTATAGAGGTAACATACAAGGAAATTGGGTATTGGGAACTCTGGAATAGGATTAAAACATTAGCTACTACGATTCTTTGGAATGTTCAATGCTAGAGAATGTAAGAACGTATTTAAACAATGTTATGCACGACATAAATTTTCAACACATGAAAAAAATTTTAAAACGGTTTACATAGTCAGCGACGCCAGAGTCGACTAGTAATATTGTAGTTGTAGGATGATGTCGAAAAGAATTCAAATTTTTGTAATTTCCAAACACTTAAAGTGCTAGCTCTATAAGTATATTTAATCATATTCTGACGAGACATTTAAAAATATTTGGAGCCATTTCCAAAAAAATTGAAAATGTCCCAGGGGCTTCATGTAAAGTACACCCAAAATTCAAAAGTTAAAGTTTTTCAATATCGCAGAGATTCGAGTCGGAGTAGATCGGCCGGGGAATATTCATGTTGAAAAAAAAAGACGAATAGTTTAGGCGCTAGTGTTAATCACAGACGGCTGGCCGGCCGGCCGAACAGACAGGCGGATCGACAAACGGACGGACGTTTTGCCTTAAACTATCAAGGGCCAACAAATTATGAAATTTGACAACGGAGCATATTAAATAAAGTAATTTACTGCATGCTGGAACGAGATTTATCCACTTTTTCTATTGGTTACCCACATCAGAGTTTTTCTGCCTAAAAATCGCCATTGTTTTGCCGTAGCATTACCTAACTTTCTCTATATCAAATAATACTCCGTATACGAGGAAGTGAAAAGCACGGAAATATATCGTGCTAAAAGGGTTTCAGTGATTTATGATTTATCAAGTGTCGCTTGATTTTGGACTACCGTATAATGGTTGGCCAACAATTCAATAGTAATTCATTAAAATGTAGATTGGATTAAAGACAGAAATCATTGTCAGAAAAGGAAATAAAATAGTTCTTAGCCAAAAACGCAACAAACCTTTCTTTCCATCCTATGTTACGAGTATTTTCTCTCTATCAGTTCACGACTTCTTGAATAAAACGTATTTTGAAAGACTACCCGCAAGGTCTCTTAGAAAACACTGGGACATCATAGCGTCCTCTACTCTTCCCATGAATACCGAAATGTTTGGAATTGCAGAATAATATGATGTAGATTTAATAAGTATTTTTGAAATATTGTTAGATGATAGAGTTGCAGTACAACTAAATATTAAATATTGTTATTTCGTTAAATTTATGTGTTAAAAAATCATTCAGGCAGATGGAAAGTAATAAAATAATTTATTCAATTTTAAATAATTTGCTTTCTACTCCTCTAGTCTGTTGCCATTTTATTACTCAGTTGATCGAACTAGTAAATGATGTAAATGGTGCAGAAGCGTACAAAGGCTTAACATGCGTGTTGGGTTAGAAGCTATTACCCTGGATTTCCGTGTATTGACGTTTCATGGGCTAAGCCTCCTTTTTAGAAAACTTATCAGTGATCTCAAATTCTACGTTATTTGGATGGAAAGACCTATTTCAGAGAATAAAAATAGTATATTACCATGAAAGTAGCAAATCATACAAATACAATGTAGATTAATTTGCAAGTTCAAATATTGACCAAGTATGAATGAATATATTTTTCAGTTTATAGCCGCATCATAGTCAATACTCATTTCATTAGCGACTATTGCCAAGGAACATTTGTAATTATGTTTTCATTTATATATTAATGGGTGCTGTATTTGTAATTAAATTAATCTGCTTCTTTACAATAAATTAATTCAAAAGAACTATAAATAAAATTGTTGGCTAATATTACACTCTTGTCTGGAAACTTCCTTTTGCACGTTTACAAATGTATTAATTAAAATCTTAAATAAATGCTATCGGGGTACCAATGAACCAAAGAAAATTAATCTTTGACTTTTTAGTAATATTTTAAATTATAATTAGGGAATAATAATTTGATTTTTTAGTATCTTGACTCCAATACTAATCTCAGGTAAATTATGGCTAGTAAATATTTTCATATCAGTGTTGTAAAAATACTCAACTCCACACAATTAATCAACACTAGAATTAACCAAGTCCGTAGCTCTGATCAACGATTCAGTATGGCATGGCAACCCACTTGTCACAGAAACGTCCAAAACACATACTGTCTGGGATCCCTGGTTTCATATATATTATAACGTGCATTAATACTGTGCTGAACCACACTCACTTCCCTGCGGAATTTTTATGCTAATGATACATATGAGATGTTTTGGATAAAATATATGTGTCTTTTGTAGCACAACATACTTCGCGGTAGTAAAACAATACAAACACGTTCTAGTTTACTTTCTAACTTTTTTCTGGGCTAGTTTTTCGGTTTTGCCCACCTTCCGAGCTGTTTGCCCCCAAAATAATATTTTTCATATTTTCTCAGTTTTTCGGTGCCTTAAAGATACAACTGAAATGTTACTTTAAGAATATTATACCAGAGAAAAATTTGGTTTACAGAGATTTTTCATTGAAAAAATTCGAGTCGTTATTGAGAATGAAATAATTATATGCGTCGTCATTGCCACCAATATTATTTATTAAAATAGCAGCTTTCGATAGCTTAGCCATAATCATCAGTTTTCTGTTGTATGGAAGCCACAAAATGGTGGTAGTCGTTTTTGTGGCTTCCACAAAAGGGCTAGTGTTCACAGATAGACGGACGAAGAGACGGACGTTTTGAAAAAAAAAACACTTTTTCCGAATTAGGGGACTCCAAAACGAGTATTTCCGTGAAAATTTCGAAATCGCTTTTTCGCAGCATTACATAACTTTCCCTATACTACGTATTAAATCGTATTATACACGTATGTATACGGAAAAGTAAAAATGGAAAAGTGATGTAAGTTTATTGGTAACAAGTGTTAAAATACCTAATTTTTGCTGATGTACCCATTACCTTGTGGTTTTTCTGTGAATCAGTTTTGTGGTAGTTAACATCCATTTAAAACTATATAAAAACGTTATAATTTTATTATGTTTTATGTCAATATTTCTAAGAAGTAAGAACAATTAACATTGTAGAGACAATTATTTTTCATTTTATTTATTGTATGTATGTATATGTATATATATACACAGTTAATATCTGGCATCTCTCACTCACTTCTGGCATTGTATTTTCAAGTGCTAATCGAGCCTTTCCAGGCAGGCATTGCGGCACTCTGACGCCACATTGACTGCTTGGTCCTTGTCAACATGGAAGACAATATCATGGTCTGCTTATAGCATCTGGCGAAGGTGGTCAAGATATTGAACGCTACTTGAAGTAAAAGTGATATTGGTGAAGGCAAGTTCACTCTCATTATTATTCAATAAGTCATCACTAATTCATCGATACTTTAGGTCTTTACGTATTTCTCATGGGATTACAACTACTCATGGGATATAGTTAATGGCATTCTCTTTAATTCCAGACTTTAACAGGAATAACAAATGTACCCTAGTCAAAAACAGTTGACGGAACATAATGATATAATCAACAATAATGTAGTGAAATATTTCATCTGCTGTAATGCTCATTAAACTAAATTTTGACTCTTGAAAATATCTCTTATATATTCATAGTTCGTAATGGAATTATCCCAAAGAATTTTTTAAATGTATCAACTTTATACAAGATGTGAAAATTACGTGTGACCGTGGTTTCGAAATTCATTAGTAACATTATAGTTTTAAAGTGATATGTATGTTCTTTGCATTATAAACGTCTCAAAAGAATAAACGCTTACCGGTGAAAATCGGAGGCAAGACAATAACAAAGCAGGATGTTTGCTCGCTTAAGAAAGCTAGAAGACGATGATTGGCCCCCATCATCATTTGAAGTGATGTTCACCTTATTTACAAAACTTGCAGAACCTCAGTCCGATGGAACTCAAATTTGTTTGACGACTTCTAACCGATGGATGAAACTGGCAAATGTTTTGGATGGTAAAGTATTGAGAGAAACGGACACTGGAAGAGCTTTTTTCAAATTCAAGTGAGTGTATGCCATATTAATGTTCATTATACGGTATACGAGTGACCAATGTGATTAGATTTGTGATGAAGAATCAAGATTATGTCTATTATTAACACAAATTAGTTTACAATGACTTACATTACTCGACTGGAAACCGAAGGGAGCACCCACTCAGGTATTTACGAATATTATATTACGACATTACTTGCACCTGTCGAAGAAATATAAAACGGAAACGTGAAAAAAATATATATGTGTGCTTTGGGTAATTACTAACATCGCAAGTCGTGTTGATATAGTTGTTTTCATTTTTTCGTGTAAATTACAAAATTTTTTTATTCTACTTTTTAACAAAATGATAAATTTTGCTAAGGATAATTCTTCGAAAACATAGAACAAGTTTTAATGTATTGATGGAATTACTCGTACCTATGATTTGAATTCCAATAGTTTTGAATAAGAATGTGATTTTACGTTTTAAAACATTAATGAGGTCACTCCATCAAAATTAAATTGTCTGAGGTAATCATATTGAAATTTTTGTTTTATTGGTAAGGAACAAAAAATTATTTTCGTGTGAGTGAAGTATCATACACCCAAGTGAGTAAAATAAAACGTGTGAACTGCATGCAAAAATGAGAAATTGCCTCTCGTGTAAAAAGATTTTGCATCTCGATGTTGAGTAATCGAAAATTTCGTATACCAAAAGGGGGCACCAAAAATAAGTTCGGATCCCTTTCTCCAAGTGTGTGCACTTTGTCGCCTTGAAACTGACATTACACTTTATGTGCAGATTTAAAGCCCAACGCGGGATTCCGCTGGTATGGAACACAACACTGGCCAAACACATTACGGAAAAGTTCACGCACTGAAAAGTCTAGGCTTAACGCACGCAACTGATCTGCATGGGCACAACGCTCGTTGGAAAGTCTCCATGTTCTGTAATATGGCTGCCACAAAGAATAACTACTTCGTAAATCAGTTCAAACCATTTAGTTGAAAGCAATCATAACATTCATTGAAATTAAAAAAATCGATAGTTCAAAATAGATATAACACACTAAAAATGTTGAAATTAGTTAAAAATATTATTTCGAAGTAAACAAGAATTACTTCTCTAAAAAATATAAGCAATACTATTCGTATTGGACATTACGTTATGTGTACAAATATTAAAGGAACTATATATTTATGTTGTACGAATTATTTTCATATTTTTAAAACGTCTCTTTTGCATTTTTAATGCTTCAATGCTTAACCACTTTTTAAGACTCACAGATCAACATGTTTTTCCAGGAGAAGAGCTATCTCCTTCGACAACTACTTACTTTTTCTTCAAGATATTTGCGAAAAAAAGAGACTGAACATAAATGAAATTAAGGAGAAGATGAAAAATTGCCCTGATCCCAGAAAAGTTGCTGTAAGAATTTCATTATATATTGAGGGTGCATGTAGTCTTTGCTAAAGCTCCTCAGTTTTATATTCAAATGTAATGTGTATATTAAATTTTAGGCACAGTGGCTCACAAAACTATTCGGACATTTATTAATGTAATCAGAAAGTGCTTAAATTTTACTCACAAAACCACCTCACTATTTGTTTGTGAACAAATTTGAAGAATAGAATGTTCTTATACACATAAACATTATAAATAATTTGAAAAATATGTACGGTATTTGTTTGATTAAAAGAAAAATGAATCATCGATGCAGAAACTTCACTTCAACAAAACTATTTCGTGAACCGTTGGGGTAATGTGGTAGAGGTTCTTTTGATCTCCATTTTTGACTATCGTAACCGCCGCCGCCGATGGATCGTACTATTTATTAACATTTATTATTTTTACTTTCTCGCATGTATATTTTATGGTTAAAATACATTTAAGACGTGTTCGTGAATAAGTACTCTGAATCCAATGCCTGAAATATATTTTCATTTAAACTTTTGAATAAAAAATTATGTTTTTCAGGATTGATTTATTTACGATATAAAGTGACATTTGAAGTAAAAGAAATACAAGAATTGTGACAATATTCCATAACTGTAACAATATAGCAAGAAAGTATGTGCAGTTGTAAGACGTGTAGTTATGTGTGGCGTCAATGACGTTTTGTAAGCACCTCTAGAAGTTACTGGAATCATCATTTCACGTCACACACAGTTTTTAACTGTTTTTGACGTAAATAAAGAAATAAAATAGTATAAAAAATATTATTGTGAGGCATACACAGATATCACACGCGAATAACCCCTTGGTGTTTTGAATCTGGGGCCACTATTCACTCTTTCATCCAACTGTAAGATAATGTGCTTTTCCACTTTTGACTTGACTTTTAAAATTGCCCCTTCTGTTATTGCTCTACTTTCTTCGGGTATCGCATTACATATTGTTGAATAACGGCCGATAGGATTCAAGTAGCAATATAATATTTATTAGCCATCACCAATGATACGGGAAGGCATTAGAAATTGTTGTCCCACTAGTTTTATTATGTGCGTTTACCAACTTTTCAATGAACAGTCAGGGAAGGCCCCATTGTGGCCTTCAGGGTTTGTCATCCTTCAGAATTATTACTTCTTTTATTGACGATTTATCACAGTGCAATTAATTTGGACTGCGTTTTGGTGTATGTGGCAGGTGAGAGACGAGACATCTGATATAGTGGCCAAAGTAAGGGGAATCGAGCCGGAGCAAGCAACCAAATCGTACCAAATGGGAGCGCGTAGAGCGTTGATTATTGCAAAGCTCAAATCTCAAGAAATCGGCTTCAAGAAAAAATAGAGGAGATAAATAGAGTGACACCTTACGTAAAGGAGAAGGAATAAGGAATTATGGAAAGAAGCTTCTCCGAAAGGGAAGAGAAACAAGAAGAATTACAAGGGATTTACGTGAGTGATGGGTAACTTTACCTGTTTGAGGCTCTTCACTGGCTCTGTTATTAGTAACATTAACACCGAAATTAACAAATTTTAAATGTATTAACACGTGAATTATTTTTCTACACAATTAATAAATACAAAACAAATTGCAGTGAAGATTAAAAAATTGAAAAATTTTGACCATATTTACCGAACAATTGTTATTATTTAATCAATATTTCAACATTGAACATTAATTATAACGAGACCATTCTCTAATTTTACCAATATTCCTCGAAACTGAAGTATACGGTGTTTGATAGGTTCACAAAAAATAACTACGTGAATAATGAGCTTGACACTTGCAGGGGCAGAGCACACGAATGCAGTCCAGCTGTATTTTGATGCTCCACGGCTTTCTGAGAGCGCAGATTGTGGGGCCGCGAAGATTCCTAGAGGGCAGACAAAGAACATTCTATCAGCAGTAGATTATCTTCAAAACAGAAATTTTAAATAGTATGTATTCGAAGAGACAAAGAGTCTACACCATAATTAAAGTGAAAGTATTAATCATAAAGGAGATATATTTGTATTGTATCTTTAGATCACATTATTTTATTAATTTTGTTCATAAGTCAAAGTGATATTGAATGAATAAAATTACACACAAAATTTCTGTTTGATACCAAATTATTATTTATTATTCAGTAGTATTTAGAAAACGAAAATGTTTTGCGTCACGCACCGAATTTGGTACTTACTTATGGAGGGTGAGAAAACATTTCATTTAAACATTTGGAAAACTATTTTTACTTTCCTGTATACATACGTATGTACGGAGTAATATACATAGTATAGAGAAAGTTATGTAATGCTGCGGAAAATCGATTTTACGATTTCAATGGAAATACACATATTGGGTTGCCCTGATTCCGAAAAAGTGTATTTTTCAAATCGTCCGTCCGTTTTTTCGTCAGTTTGTCCCTCCGTTCACCCGCCCGTCCGTCTGTAAACACCACCAAAACCATGCATACGATTTTTTTTCAAATTGAAGAACCCCTTGCCGATCTGGCTCGAGTCGAAGCTTTGATATTTTGAAAACGTTCTTTAAAATTTGCAGGTTCTTTACGTGAAACACCAGGGAAATTTTCAGAATTTTCTAAAAAATTGCTTCAAATGTTTTTCAAAGAAAAGAGTAACATGTTTTACTCTATTCTTTCAATATGAAACATTTTCATATGTAAATGTATATAAAATGTAAACAAAAAATCTCTATCGTCAATTTTAAAGCTGTAGGAAGAATTATGAAGATGACATAGATACGCTTTTCACTGTTAACTCTGAATTTTTAAAAATTGCAAAAGCTTGAATTTTTTCAGCGTCTTCCTACTGCTACAAAATTGACGATAGGGATTTTTTCTTCATACACATTTTTTTCTCCATATTATGTTTTTACGTGAAGGTCATTTAAACGTTTGTGGAAATTGTAGTAATTTCACGCAGTAGAGCGTACAATGTGTGTAATATTAAAAAATAAATAAAAACAAAATTTTCTCAAAAACAGCTACACATTTTTAATTTAAACTTTTGGTGGTGATAGTGTTAAATGTGCTCTATAATATGACAAAGGCCATTTTGCTGTATGTATATTTTTTCAAAAATTACAAAAATTTAATTATTTTGACTTGTTTCTCACATCGTTTAAATTTTCATTAGCAGCGATTTGTTCACATTTTTATATTTATGAGTACATGTGCTTTAAATAATGTCTTATAACGTTGCTCAAAAACTCAACACTTTTTCGAGAAAATGAGCTTAAAATTCCGCATTTTCAGATACACTCATATGCCGCCAAGCTATTTCAAAACTGTTTTCATAACACAATTTATTAACATAATATAATTTATTACAACCACTTTTAATCGGATTGAAAAGGAAGTTATTCAGTTCCTCGGGTGTTTTTAAAAGTTTGTTTTGTCATAATTTTTGTAAATGAACCTTGATTTAAATATTTCATTCAATAAAAGTGTAGTGAATCGTTTCTATGATATCTTGGTAATATACGAGTAATGAAAATGATCACAGTAACATTTGACACATCAATACAATCTTCAATAACAAATAAGTGCCTCCAATTGACTCCGTATAATATCTCGGACTAACCCTAGACAGAAGATTGAATTGAAAAAACAGAGAAAACAATTAGACATAAAAATAAGCAACATTTACTGGGTATTGGACGAGAAATAAATTGCTTAACTATGGGGCCAAACTGAAACCAATTTGGACGTATAGAGTCAAATCATGGGGCACAGTGTTTAGAACATAAAATTCCCACATTTATGCTTACTCGTAAAGAGTTATGGCAGCGTGACTGATTCGCAATGTTAATACCACTGTAACATTTGTTTACTGTTCACTTGGACGAGCAAATTGCAAATAAAATACATATTTTAAAAAAAATGTATGCGTTGATTTGACAGTAATATAGATGAATTGTTGCAAGTAACAAAGTAGTATGGTTTCCGGGGAGAAAAATTAGAGCCAATGAGGGGAGAATAGGTCGGTAATTTATTTTATTAGTCTTAACTGCCTTGACATGCTGATAGGTTAAGTCGCGCCGAATTCATGAATTAAGCACGTTAGGTACTTACAATTTTAATGGCTGCACCAAAAGGTAGGTATACGCCTAAAATACATATTGATACTTAATTTTGTATGGTTATTGTGATAAGATGTTTTGAATTCACTAAAATCATAAATAGTCGGCTTTGTAGTCAAGAATTTTATTTGAAAAAGCTGTTGTTTTTTATTACATCGTTCATCAGTCTAGTGAAAGAGCGAATGTTGGAAGGTAGTACCCACTCTTCGGTTGTTCATGATTCCCTCTTCCCAGTAGTCAATAACCATTCCATTATTGTACGAAAATAATTGCAGTGGTTCATGAAGTATTGATCCACACTCATCTAAGACATATAAGTACTGGTAGCAACAAAAATAGCTACTAGTACTTTTATGTCTTAGATAAAGGCATGTACTCCCTTTTACAATTGTTTTTTTTCAATATGTAAGAAAATAATGTCTTTAAAAATAATGTTTAACATGCATAACATGTTTTACAATCACAAGTCATATCAATTTTATTAAGTTTGCCTAACGATAGAAATTAGATAAGTTTTCAAAGTTCTCTATTTTAAAGTTCCATTAGTAAACATAAGGATCGACGGCCTCCCAATATTTATTTCAGTTGTAGAAATTGGAAAAAATATTGCATGAATTAAATATCAATTGATCATCTGAAAACGACTTCGTTAATGGCATAAGCAATGAATTGAAGTTCAGTTGTTGCTGCTCAACTAAGCAGATTTCACACACACACACACACACACACACACACACACACACACACATATATATATATATATATATATATATATATATATATATATCAATTAGTCTGTAGTGACGGGCAAATTTCGAATTAAAACAATGCTTAGAAGCATAATTTGAGGAATTTGAAAGTGGTAACCGTTAATGTTATAGTTTCTGTGATCTTAACATTTTTGTATGCTTCCATGTGCTATCCATACGCTGTGATTATCAAATAGTCCAGATTATGTTGCATATTTGTTCCGCGGATCGTTTACCTTTAAGTACCGCCATTTAAAGCTCTTCCAGCAAAAATATTCACAATGCACAATGCAATCAGCACAAATATTCACTTGCATCTTGCAGACGTTTTCAGTCGGGTTACTATGTTATTCAGCCGAACCCTTCATTTCTTAGAAGTAATCTCTTGATAGTTTTTATTTAGTACTTATTCATATCGAAAAAAAACAACAGAGAAATCATATAGTAAGTGAATATTTCATAAAGTTCTTAGTTTCCAACGACAAGATAATTTGTTTCATTATCTTCAGAATAAGTCAGAGACTGATCTGGAAATATCCTTGGCAATATGGACAAACTATTCGAGAATCCTCCGCTTTTGGATTTCGGATCTACCGCGGGTAAGTAGTATTTATTTTTTTAGTTTAGCTCATAATAATTTCTTTCATTTTTATCTTTTATGACTTGATCATCCGTAAGTAGAAATGTAATTCTGAGCGTTATACAGTCCAGTTGGTAACATTTTCAAACACCGGCAACGGTTTTCCTTCCACGATTTTTTCTAATTAATATTTCTATGTAGATTCCTGACTTTCTATGAGACTTTGTCGTAAATGACTGGTATCAAATTATGAGATAAAAAAGAAAGTGTTTTAAGTATTTTTTGCATTGCAGCCATTAAGCAAATAGAATCCAGACTACACATTTTGAGGGAGAGGGATCTTTTATTCGTGATCGACGAGAACACTCCGATTACATCCTAAAAGTCATACAATAATCCAAATTTTAGAAAAGTTTCATTCAGCGAAGGATTTCAGCTATTGATAGCACAAAATATTATTATTTATACGAACCAAAATACTCTAGTAATCAAGGGTTTCGTTTACATTTGCTCTTCAAAGTTATTACTTTTGGCTTAAATCCTCCGATATATCCTCGTGATCTGGAGTGTTTTAACTAAGTTGAAACATACCAAAAATACCACATTCGTATTTAAAAAAAAAAACTTAATTATATCATGATTGTGAGGTTTAGCAGATAGTGGAAGTAACCCCTCGGTATTTATTTATCACATCATAATCACCTATTAGGAAAAGAAATATGAAGAATAGATTTCTATTATGTAAAATAGAACTTTTCACACTCCCCGCCGCCCCGTGCTGCCCCGCGTCCCTCCACTCCATTCCACTTCATCCCGCCTCCATGCGGCTTACCTTGCAGAACCACATCCCCCCCCTCTGCCCTCCGCTTTGCTGCTCCCGATCCTTTTCATCCGCCCTTGATCTCCGCCTCGCTACATAGAGTTGAGCTCAGAACCAGCAATTGGCGCTGTCTCTGCAGCGACTCTGACCGCAAGGTCTTAAACCGGAAGGCGAAATTTTCTACTCTAGAGATAAGGCCGAATTCATCCACCAGGAGAACAGCCTAGGAGAATTCTTGGGAAAGCTTTCTAGAGGAGATTCGGTAGTTTTTCGTGGTTTCTTCTATCAATACCCGACGATTGCTGGAGCAGTACCCTAAGAAACGGGCTATGGTCGAACGTGTTCTTCCCTTCTCATCCTTGTCCTATTCCTTACGCACCTCTGCAGTTACGTGTACTTCATTACACTCACATGTCAGACCAGCCGGAAGTTTGGAATATAGGTATTGTGGTGAGTGTTCGTTGGCATTTCCAATGAAATATTTATATGCGTCGTCAACGCCAACAATATTATTTATTAAAAAAGCAGCTTTCGATGGCTTAGCCATCATGTTTTCTGCTCTATGGACGCCAAAAAAACGACTACTACAAAACTAATATTGTTGGCAATGACGACGGAAGTTTGGAACTTGTTCCGACTGGGAGAGATACATGGAGAGGGAAATCCCCCGCAAGGCCACCTATAAATCGGATCTCACAATCCACTGAAGGTCACACTGTCACCTCCCGGGATTAGACAATCATTACACATATGGGAATAATGACTTTAGCAATTGTCGTGCCTGGTAACATCAATAAATCCGTGTTACCTCCCCTGCTCCGCCCTGCCCATTTTCCCACCCCGTCCTGCACCTTACCACTATTAACTAATTTTCAACTTTCACCTTGAATTTCGTGAAGCGTAATTGCGCTATTGACATGAATAATACACATTTTATAAAAAAATGGAATTTCAAAAAGTTTGGATTCTCGTTGAGAAAATCGAAAAAAAGAGTACGCCTTGCTTTAAAGGGCGGGAAAGGAGAATGTGGATCAAAGTTCGAGATAAAAGTATCAGGTGTTGCAAGTGAAAATGCATCAGTACAGAACACTTTGTTAAAATCTTATTATTGGTTAAGTGTTCGGAGGACAAATATTAAATTTTATACCAAGAGATTTGTAACTATTATTTTAACCAAATTCAATATTTGATTACGAATATCAAATTCGCTTCCTAGTAAAGGTTATATATGTGCCTTAAAACACTGTAGTACACAAACGTAGTTAATTGAGGGGTTGGCTGGAAGAAGGGCGAAACTCGAATTACGGCGTTTATTCGTAAAACGTTTTAAAACGTTCTTTAGGTGACTTTCAACCCCTCCAGATGGTACTGCGCTAACACCAATACGTTGACGTTTGAGAGGCTTATGAAATTCTGAATTACCCTTTTTACAATATCGTTAACTCTATGATCTTGCATCATTTCTTTTCCCGGTGTTTAGAACATCGACAGGATGGCTGTGAATACAGATGTGAATTTTTCGAATGTACATGATTTTTCATTGCATGATAGTGCCTTTAAGCCTCCAGATGATAGTAATACATCTTCAGATGCTTATTTACATAATGTTGAAGATAAAAATAAACGACCAAAAAAAAAAAGATTTCCGAAAATCAGAAAGCAAGAATGAATTAATTTTAATTAACATGGATGAAATTGCAAATGATTCTGTATTTCTGAAATTAAGAAATATATGCAGATTTTTATAGAAGGAAACTAGATCAAAATTACCTTGTTCTGTGGAATAAGGACATAATTCAACATTTTCAAATTAATGTAAATTCACATATTTCAGTGCATATTGTGTGCTTAATCAGTTACTGGTATGATTTTTCGTGCTATATGTACGTATTTTTTATTTCATGTAAGAAATACAGCGTGTACACAGTTTTTCTTGATTATCTCAAAACAGTTTTTCTGAATTCCGTCCTTCTTTCATCCACCCCCTCAATTGGTAAACTTTTACAGAATGCAGTACATAACGATTGAGGTCTTGTTCAGAAAATGCAGTGATGTCCTTTGTTTCTGCCTCATGATCGCGCCACCCATCTGGGGCGCATTGGTTTTACTCGGGGGCGAAACTCTGATACATAATACTATGAATAATACACGTTATTTGAAGCTCATTGATGGCATCGGGGCGTAAACATGCAGCAAGTTTTTGGCCCTTCTTCAGATATGCTTAATGTTTCTTCCAGAGGGGTATATGCGCTGCTGTCGCTAATGTGTGTTGCGAAATAGAGCTGCTAGAATTTCTACGTGTGCTGAGTCCGCCTGCAGCTTCATAGCCACGTAAAGGGGTCACAGGTGATTGATTGATTGATTGAATGATTGATTAGTGTTCCCGGGCGCGTCAACAGCCAAGGTGATTATTCCCCTAAGTGTATAGCATGCTCTTCCTCGGGGGGGGGGTTTCCCCAACCAGGTATCTCCCATCAGCGGGGCACTCCCCTAGCCGAGACAAGCTCTATGCTCCCAACTGGCCTCCGATCACGTGTGGTTTTGTAGTGCATGTAAATGTGAGCGTGCATAGGGGGTGAGGATAAGGCAAGGAAGAGGAAGGAAAGATCGTGCGCGGGCCGTGGCTCGTTTGATAGGGTACTACTGCTCCTGCATTTTCCTGCTGTTGATTGGAGAAACACCTGAAAACTACCGATCAGAGCAGCCAGTCGCTATAATTGCCCTTCACACGGCTGAATTCGAGTCTTGCTAACTATTATTGTAAAAAAGCCCGTCGGGAGTCGAACTCTAGGACCTCTCGGTCAGAGGCTCTGAAGGAACATGAATTGATGCTCTGAGCCACCTAAGCCGACTGGGGATTTCCGGTGAGGTCGCTGGCAGTAAGATTATGGCACTGTAGCAAGATCTTTTTCATCCCAAAGATCGAATAAATTATTCATCTTCTTTTATGTGATAAGTGAAAGTACAAAAAAGTTTAGCTTTAAAATGTTATGGGAATCCTACATATTAATTTTATTTGATAGCAATCCTTCAAGAAATTACAAATATGGAGCCAGATCATTCTAATGGAACATTTCAAGATTTATTTAGAAAGAAGGTCAGATCAAAAATTGCGGAAGAGGACTGCCAGCTATCCATGAACGCATTTTTAAGCATTGGAGACTTGCAAAAGAAAGGTGTCTACCGAGGTGTGACTAGAGGAATGACTTTTGAAGAAATGGATGCCTGCCTTAATTTGGAACTGGGTAAGAGTTCTCTTAAAATTACAGTAGAATTCCTTTTTCTCTTAGAATTACATTATAAAGAAGTATTTTAAATGAGAAAAAGCTTACTATTTCACTAACTTACAATGTATTAATGCATTTTTGTAGCAAGCAACCCTCCCCGAAACGATCCGAAACTACCCAATTCATCATTGTCTCTCAACGAATTGCAGGATTGGTTAGACAAGGAAATGGGTAAGTGTAGTAATCGTGTAATCAAGAACATATTTTAAAGTAATGTGAATGAGGTTTATTTCTTGCCATTTACTCCGATTGTTTCTCGTTCTTATATTTTTTCAGAGTTATCGCGTCAATATACGTCGGCAGGGGGAGATATGATGACCACATTAGAAAAGATGGTTCACAAGTCTGATAAAATAGAAAACTGGCTTAACAAAGAAGCTAAAAATTCACAACTGAAACCCGAACTAGAGAATGGTAATGAAATGTAGTGTAATATAATAATAACAATAATAAGAATTGAATAATCTCACACGTTAAACAAACGTATTAACGGCAATATAATAGTATTTTTAAAACGAATAATTCATACCGTACATACAATAAACTATTGTATTATAATCGTGTATTACAATTATGAATGTGCTGCTTTGCCATTTCTACTTTTTATACAAAATCATTTTCAAAAGAGAAAAAAAAGTGTTATTTTCGGTGGTTCCACTTTTTCAATATTTCCAAAAAATGGAAATGTGTCAATCTTCACAAACATTACTTGCCTTTTGCCTCTGAATAAATTTAAATAAAATTTAATCGCAAATAATATTCAAATAATACATTAAGTTTTATTTCAAGGAATCCTTTGAGCAAGAATTTCTGTAACTAAAATTCACTAATAATTTTGATATAATGAATCGCATTCACCTTCCCGCAAAAAGTTTCGATTTTCTTAAGATAGTGAAAGAATATTCAATTTCCGCTCCCCCCTGTTACCTACATCAGGTTATCATTTCTCCACAAATAATCACTCCTCTATTTTCAGAAGAAACGTCAGCCAAAGGTCAGCAGAACGCACCGTATCCAAATTTCGAAGCGGCCGAGCGCAGCCTGCGGGCGCTCCACGAGACCCTGGGGCTCGCCAAACTCTTCCCGCGGCGCGGAGGCCAGGCTCGCCAGGATAACTCGCCGGCGCCCTCCGCGACGGGCAAGCAGAGCGCGCAGGCGCCCGGAACCTCCGTCTCCGCCCCCGCTCCC